TTCAGACTCGTTATGGTCTATATGAGTTTGTAGTGATGCCTTTTGGTATTTGCAATGCTCCTGGCACCTTTCAGCACGCTATGAATCGGATCTTCCATGACCATCTAGATAAGTTTGTCGTGGTTTACCTAGACGACATTCTGATCTTTAGTAAGTCTGCCGAGGAGCACGCACAACATGTTGAGACTGTACTCTCACTTCTGCGACAGCACAAGTATAAGGTCAACTTAGAGAAGTGTGAATTTGGTCGCACTAAGATACTATACTTAGGTCATGAAGTATCCGTGGAGGGGATTACGCCGGAAGATGCGAAGGTGGCTAGTATTCGAGACATGCCACGACCTCAGACAGTCACTGAGGTCAGATCATTCTTAGGAATGTGCGGCTACTATAGGAACTTCGTTAAGAACTATTCTACAGTCGCCTCTCCTTTGACTGATCTAACTCGACTTGACATGCCGTGGGACTGGAGTGATGAGTGCGAGGGTGCTTTCAAGAGATTGAAGCATGCACTCATGAATCATGAGGTCCTCATGGTTCCCGATCCTCAGAAGCCATTCATAATGACCACTGACGCAAGCCAATACGACATTGGCGCAGTGCTAGCTCAACAGGATGGGAAAAAGTTGAGACCGATTGAGTACGAAGAAGTTGGCAAAGTCTACCTACGAAAGGGAACTGTAAGCTCTATACAAAGCACTTGTCCATTGGAGACACTTCCTATTGGGAAGGTACTTCTACTTTAGGACTGATCATCAGACCCTCAAATGGATCAAGACCCAACCGACGCTTTCTGACGCACTCAAGCGATGGATTGAGGTCATAGACCAATATGACTTCAAGCTTGAGTATCTGAAGGGAGAGTATAACAAGGTTGCTGATGCGCTATCACGTARAGCAGACTACCTAGGTGCGCTAGTTTCTGACTTTGGCGTATCTGAAGAAGTAACTCAATCGTTGGTGGGAGCCTATCGGGAAGACCTTGTCACGATGGACATCATGCGCAAACTTCAGGCAAAAGACAAGGCCACGGAAAGTGAGTTTGTGATGGTGGACGGGTTACTCTATCTTGATAAGGCCGGAATAAAAAGATTAGTTGTTCCATCTAGTGAGCGTTTGCGTAGTTTGTTTTTAGGCGAATGTCATGACGCAACTGGGCACTTTGGCTACAAGAAGACGAGTGCTAACCTAGTACTGCGATTTTGGTGGCCTGGAATGTTAGATGACGCAAAGAAGTACGTAGAGACCTGTCAGGTCTGTCAGCGGGACAAGCCGCGAACTCAAGCACCGCTTGGGTTGCTTGGGTTGTTGAAGCCTTTGCCTATCCCTGCTGGTCCAGGACAGAGTGTTTCCATGGATTTCATGGACACCCTAGTGACTAGTAAGAGTGGCAAGAGGAAAATCTTCGTCATCATCGATCGATTCACCAAGTACGCTAGACTAGTGGCTATGCCAGAGACCGCAAGAACTGACTTCGTCATCAAGTTGTTCAAGGACAACTGGGTGCGTGACTTTGGTTTACCAAAGTCAATCGTTAGTGACCGAGATGTCCGATTCACAAGTGAGTTGTGGAAGAATCTGCAGAACAGATGGGCAGTCAACTTCAAATGACTTCAGGGAATCATCCCGAAGCCAATGGACAGGCCGAGCAAATGAACAGAGTTGTACAGCACTTGCTGAGGCATTACATCAAGCCTAGCCAGGATGACTGGGATGAGCAGTTGGCTCTCATTGCCAGCCTGTACAACAATGCTGTCCACAGCAGTACCGGCGTTAGTCCTAACCAGCTACACTTGGGATGGAAGCCTAGATCAGCACTAGACTTCCTCCTACCTGAAAACCGACCCGCTGCAACTCCCGACACACTTGAGTATGGTGTGCAGTATGAGAAGTTGCTGCAAGAGGCTGTCGAGCACATCAAGAAAGCTCAGCAAGCAATGATTGCTTCTGAGAACAAACATCGTAGACAATCCACATTTCAAGTAGGGGAACGTGTCTGGGTCAAGGCTAGTGAGTTAGGACAAGAGTTCGGAATCTCTCGCAAACTAATGCCTCAGTACTTTGGTCCCTAGGAAGTCTTGGATATAGTGGGAGATGAGATGGATGGTCCCAAATATGTCATTCGTGTCCCTGGACACCTACGCACTCACCCAGTCTTTCATGCCTCAAAGTTTGCACCTTTCGCTGAGACAGATCAATTCCCTTCCA